AAAAACAGGGCCTCTATATGTCTTGTCCACTCCCTAGCGTCCAGCCCAAACTCAGCCCACTTTTGAAGACAGATTAGCTGTGTGCCAACCACTAAACAAAACTCATTTGCTACTCTGAATCATGTCACAAAAATTAATTCTGGAGCTTTCCAATTTTCTTGCCGCACCACTAGGGATTGTGAAGAAGGACCCAATAATAGATGGACGCATTACACAGAGTGAATTAATCAGAGTTTGCGTACTTTGGAAAAGACCCCCCTTCCACTCTACCAATCTTAATTTTGGACACCACAGGTCCCATATTGTTTTTGTCGTTGGACTTGGTTCAAAATATTGATCATCCCAAACACCTTCTGAGATAAATCTCCAACAGTTAATGCTTCATGACTAAGTGATGAAACATGACTTCATGATGCTTAAGAAATTCTCTTCTTAGCTACTATTCTAGGTCTTAACCTCTAATTCCAAAGCAAAACAAATTACGGTTAAACCATCCCATAGTGAAAGCTCCCCCACTAATAGCTTTCAGTTGAATTATAATTTTATACTAGACAAACACCAATGATTTCCGAAGAGCGCCCAAGCTTCATAAAGCTTAATCAGAATATCTATTTCACATGTTACTAAAATTCAGCATCAAATGGTCACTTATTTCTTCACCTAGATGTAGCTTGAAAGATTTAACTAAGCTTTTTGCTATATAAATAGAAAGTTTGTTTTTCAAATCCTTGATATTTTTGTGCTCACAAATTTGCTTGGGGATGAGAGAAATTGGGACTATAGGCATTATAGAGAGGGCCATTTTTTGCCCCGTCAGATGTTGAAGCTGAATTATAGAATTTTGTTCAAAATCTCAATCACCAAATCTATGGATGAAGGCCCATGGATTTTTCAAGATTTCTTTGTTTATTTTGCAAAGGGGTATTGCTCTCCGTACTGAAGAATCTTGTCTCTTCATATTCTCTTGCTTTTGGAAGGAGACCTTATCCTCCCATTATGTCGAAGCTTTCTCCCTTTCTCTTTTTTAGGAGAACCATTCTCTCTCTTTCTAATAATGTGTTTTTATTAAAAACGAACAATTAAAATTCAAAAAGAGCGTATCCACAAATCTTGTTAAGCTAGGCAAACTTAAATTTCACCAGTTAAATCATCTTTGATATTGTTTACAAGTGACAGACATCATAAAAGTCATCTCAGTTTTTTTTTTTCACTTTACATCCTAGCGTTTTATTCTCCTACTTATTAAATTGGTTTGAACTCATTATAACACTTGACATGAAATTCCAGCAAGAAAAGACAAATGACACAGTAGACACCTCTGTCATGACAGCAACCGAGGTGGGATCATGTCCTCGCCAGACATAGTCTCTCACTTTCATTCCCTCTGCAGCTGCACCTTTTTTGACAGCTTGTATTGCAACTATAAGGGAAGCACCTAACAAGAAGAAAAAACTCAAACCTGAAGATATGCTCATTAAGATCAACTTTCCAAAAATCATACAAAACTGAGTATACCTTCAATTATAAAGGAACCACCTATCACCAGAGCTGCATACTGAATATTTGGCGGAGGCTGAAAAAGACAAACAACCCCAATTGTATGTAACAAACTATGTATATGAAGAAAAATGGGAAACAATGTAAGAAAAAGGCCAAGGGAGAAGAGCAGATTCTGATGTGTTTGTGTTTAAGTGATTAAGTGGGAATTGAAATTCACAAGATCGATTACCTGTGAAGTCCACAAATTCTGCACTCCATGAACAATTGTAGCCCCAGAACCAAGACAAAAGATGCCAACAGCAGATATCAAGGACCACACAAATCTCTCTTTTGAGTACCCATAACTGAGCAAAGTGAAAGATGTGGTTTGAGCACAACCATAAAACAACAGAAACTGAAACTGTCTCCCTCTACCATAAATGCATGCTAGTGAATTAGGAAAAGAACAAGTAACTTGCCACAGTAAATCTTTCTTGAGTACCCATGCAAGTAAAAAACATGAGCCAAGGAGAGTACATGATCAGTAGAGATTGAAGAAATGGGGAAAAAAGTTATTAGATGTCAGCATATATAAAGCACCACACAAAACTTTCTTTTGACAAGTTCTTCCTTGTCACCCATGCATATGAGAGAAAGAAGCCATACTGCCTAGTGGTTGTAGGAATTAAATAAAGTTATAGATGTCAGCAGCTATAAACAACCACAAAGATTTTTTCAGAGTACCCATGCATGCAAATGACTTGTGCAAAGGAAGCCACCCAGTAAGTAGTAATTACAGAAATGAAATAGACATAAAATTTTTATTTTTAAACTCTTCCTAATATGTAAACCAAAACCCAAATCTTTTATAGGTAAATTGGCTACCTCGCACCTCAAGATAGCGGCAAGAGGTTCCAAGTCCATCCCTCAGTAAGTGGAACAGATTCTGAATTGGTCAAGTGGATCCAAAGATCAGAGATAGCTAGAAAGTATAAGAGGATGCATTAAATGTGAGAAAGCACCTCTATTGGGTTTCCAAATGCACCACATCAGGCTTCCATATAGAGAAACAATCCTTGATAATTGTTTGCTCCTTGTATCGTTCATAACCTTCACATTTCAAGATAATTTTCCGTAACATAGCAAATCAATATTTAAAACACTCTTAACATAATTCCCAAAACTAAAAAGATTTCTGAGTTCTTTAGGCATATCCTCTGCCAAATTTTTTCTTTCCTGATATTTTAAGGTTCTAACTCCTCCTTCCTCTTCCCCAGTACCTTCAATAGTTCTAAAGAATTCGATGGCTTGTTCTTCAAAACCATGAAAACTAACTCAACAGCCAGTTGATCTTTGCTATATTTTTCAGAAAAAGCTCAATTTAGTTAGACTCTTGAAAAAAACACTATACCTAACAGCCAAACTTCCTTTCTCTCATCCCACATACCTAGTATACTTGGAACCTTTCCTCATTTATTCCTCTCAGCCAATTTGAGACCATCACTATGCAAAATAGACAATGGAAGAACACTCTTGTCATATAGGTACCCAAAAGCACAAGCGAAAAGGAAGAGGCAAAAGAGATGCTTTAGTAGTTCAAAAGTCGAGGTTGAGTTTTAGCCCGTAGGGACAAAAGATGCAAAATGTAATTGTAGGTTTTCTAAATAAGTTATAATTATTCCTTTTAAATCTAGAGTTTACTGTTGTAGTTGAGAGTATTAATGTTTATTTCGTCTTAAATCCTTCAAAAGTTTCTATTAGTATCTCTCTTTATAGTTAGATTATGATTAAATTGAAGCTTTTTTAATCTCAATCTCGCTTATGAGACAGCCATAAGTCATTTTCAGAAAATTTCCAAGCCAAATTGGTCCTTATGATCATGTGATGCAACCAAACTCTCAAATGCTAATCTCCTTTTCTGAGTCAAACTATAACCCCCTTAGTTCTGATATCTAAGAAATCTTAGTCATGATGTCTATATTTGAACCAATTAGCCAAGGTTGGAAAAGCTATCCTACTTTGTCCTGCATCAATACATGACAATAATTGCCAATAGAGATCATGATTTCTTTAAAAATAAAGCTTATACACACAAAAAGACAGACTTCTAGAATCTAGGAACATTTAGATGCATGATAGTGAATGGCAGAAAACACAGAACGATGACGAGGATATTAAAAGAAATAAGTTTTTACGAAATAACTCACGGATGAAGAGCATCTGGTGCACGCCTTGAGCTACTGAGACCATAAGCAAGAAGTGCCTAGAAGGTTAACATGAATTAGTTTCTCTCCATTCAATAATCAATAAATTCTGTCAAAGTTACAGCAAAAGCAGAATGGATGAGAAAAATAATTTCAATAGCAACTTCAAAAGGCCAAAAAAGACCTGATTAGCGAAATCTGCAACTGAGTGAACAACTTCAGCCAACATAACATGGCTAGAGGTTGATAACCAAACACCAAACTTTAGAGAAAATACAAGAAAGTTGCACCACAATGCAGTAGTGACTGCCCGTTGACTGCAATAGATCATTATTATTAAAATGAGGAACTAAAACGAGATAGAAATATGCTTAGATTGTGAAAAGGGGCGATTGTTTCCAGTACTCTAAGCATCAATAATGTAAAAAGAAGCAAAACCATAAATATTTACAATAAAACACACACATACAAAATTCTCCAAGTAATTATGTAAAAAAACAAAGAAATCAGAGATAGCATTGCCTGTGTTGATCATTGATTTCAATCCTCTTAATTTGTTTAGACCTTGTGAAAAAACCTGCAAAAATTCCACTCTCACCATTAGCCCAATAAGCAAACATCCCAAACAGAGTTGTTTCGATGAAGAAACTTACTGCGATGAAACGAGTACTGATGATTACGGCAGTGATCACTATGCGAAGACACCAATTCCGGGCAACCGCGCGAGACGAAACTCCGAAACTGCAGATAGGAACCTAGCTGAGAGCTAGAAATCTGCTGCGTGAAACTAGGCTCCAAATTGTAGTTATTCTTGCTGGTTAATAGCAGCAATTGAGAGAGATAACTAGTGTCATTGAAGAGAAAGTTGCCAATGACAGGGAAACGAGAGCTGCGACTAAAAGTGGACGAGTGTTTAGCGGGATGGAGAAAGCGAGAGAAAACGCGATATGATGTTTGCATTTAAGCACAGTCACGAATTTTCTTTTCTTTTCATTCCCTTTCTGACAATTCTCAACTCTGAAGAAAAAATGTCTGAAAAACAAGTGCCAAATTTATCGGAAAGAAGACGAATTCTCTGAGGAATGTTTTAAAAATGCTTTCTGCTTTGGTTTACACGATATCTTCAGATATGGTATAATCAGTCACGTAGGGTTTGACATGTATATTGAAAGAGAAAAAAGGAAGACGAAGGAGAATCAGAGCGCAAGAATACCTCTCGCGTCTCCGACACTGTTTGAGTGTCTTGGTAAGACTGGATTAGTAAGAAGCCAGAATAGAATTAATCTGGCTTCTTACTAATCTAAATTCCACTAATCTGGCTTCTTAGTAAGATTTGTAGAGTGGAAGGTGGGTTTCTTTTCCAAAGCAGGCAAACTCTGATTAATTCGTTCTATGTAATGCGTCCATCTACTATTGGTCCTTTCTTCACAATCCCTAGTGGTGCGGCAAGAAAATTGGAAAGCTCCAGAATTAATCTTTGTGACATGCTTCAGAGTAGCAAAGGAGGTTTTGTTTAGTAGGTCGGGACACAGCTAATCTGTCTTCAAGAAGGTGGGCTGAGGTTGGGCTGGACGCTAGGGAGTGGACAAGACAATACAGAGGCCCCTGTTTTTTAGGCCTTTGGAAGAGTATTAGCTTAGTTGGGATGAGTTCTATGCTTGCATTAGTATGAGGATCAATTTAAGGTGTAGGGTGAAGTCTGGATGATAAAGAGAGCAGGCGGCTTTGCACTAGCGTCTTCGTGTTGCATACTCCTTGGCTAGATTTATGCTGTGTTTGGATCGTGAACTATTATATATGGTACGGTAATTCAACGAGTTTTCTTGTTTATATCATTTTTAAATAGATGATATGTTTAATTTGGTAGTATATAATGGTAGATTATTTTTTTATTTTTTTCAAAATTTTCAAACTATTAATAGTAATTTTTAATAGTTAAATATTAACTTTACCGTTTTATCCTCACATTTATTTGTTAATTCTCATTTGGCCCTTAAATCATTTTCTTCTACCCAGAGTATTTTTCTTTCTTCACCGCAGCTCGCTTCTTCTCTTCTCATCTGCTTGTGCTTCTTTCGCTTCCGTATTCTGCTTCTGCTTGTTGGGAGAGTCTCCACGGATGTTAACTTGCTTCACCAAACACAGCATCAATCAAGGTATGTGTTTAATAATGTATGATTGTTGACTTTGCTTTTGTGGTGACTTGGAAAAAAAGAAGATCAATTACAGGCAATATATATGTTTAGTTTACTCATTTAAGTGGAATTCAGAGCTTCATTCCATGACAAACCATCTATGAATCGGATGGTTATACCTCTCTGCTTTCTTTACAAGGGCTAGGGTTCGGGTCACGTGGCTCCAGTTTAGGTTTCTTTGGTAATGTGCCGAGCTGTGTGCTCCTTCTGATGGTGTTGAAGGAAAAAAATCTTTTGTGGGATGACAACTCTTAACTGGAATGTGAATACATACGTCATTACAAATTTTAACCTGTATGGGCACAAGGACAACACATGGGATCTTCACAAATTCTTCATCCGATATTCAAACATTCTCCTACTTTAGGATTTGTATGGAGTTTCCCTTCTTGTTGCTAATGCATTTCTCTGGAGTTCTCCAGATATTTACGATCAATGTCGTTGTGCTCTGCCATATTTCTCTTCAGTTGTCTGTTATTGATGTGAAAATAGCTGTAAGGATGCATATATAGTTTGCAAAAAAGATCCAGATGTTGTCTGATGGATCAATGATGGTTGTTGGGTTTCTTTTGAACTTACTCTGCCCCAAATCTAGTCATTTTCAAGTTTCTGTTCCAGATTATTTTTTTCTTCTTACCAAGTAACTGTCAGTAAATGTTCTTTTATTCCTTCTAAGGTTGCATTTGGTTGCTTTTGGGTTACTTTCCAAAAAGAATTGACTAAGAAATGAATAGGAAATAAACCAAACACAACGTAATATTACTTGGAGAACAACTTTACAAATCTATATATATAGTTGCCTTACATAGTTAGCTACAACAGACATAGAACAGATGGGCCGTCCGTGCGCGTGAATCTGGGCCGTCCATGCGCGCGGGAACGGATCTGGGCCGTCCGATCGCGCGCGCGCGGATCGGCCCCGCGTGTCCGTGCCACCCGGCGCATCCTGGTTGGCCGGAGCTGCTGACTGGGCCGCTGACGTGGCTGCTGAAGTGGTGCTGACGTGTCGCAACTTTTTTAAATTACGTTTTGACCTCCGGTTTCCGATTTTCTTTTCAAAAATATCCCCATAATCCAAATTTTCACCCCTTTTTTCCAAAATCAATTTCAATTAAATCCAAATAATATTTTTACTCAATTTTATCATTATTATTGTTTTTATTTTTATTAAATTAAATTAAATAAATCAATTAAAATTTTAATAATTACAAAATAAACTAAATAAATTAAATTAAAAATTAATAATAATAATAATAATAATAAAATTATTGGGTGT